AGACTTGCCACGGTCTCCAACCCTCCTCCTTTCTCATCCGGGCTTGGGACCGGCCATGGCGGAGTTAGTGAGCAGATATCATAAATAAAATGAAATTGCAAGGAATGAACAAAGATTTAATCAAAAACCGAAACATGTAAAGGGGCTTGACTCGAGCAGCGGACTCCTGTTAAAGGGAACACGCTAGGGCAAAGTAAAGGAATGATCAGGCGACAATCGAAAGTTGCTTAAGACGGCCTAAGAAGGTCTGACGTTGTTCATGAAATACAGTGCACTTGAATGTGATAAATGACATTCTCAATTCAGACAAAGAAAGACACTTACGAGGACTACCTTCAGGCAATCAACTTGTCCAAACATGTTACTTTCTTTTTATTTGCAGACATCGTTCATCAAGAGATGTTTCATGTATTTCACTAAAAATAGTCATCGTTTACAAGAAGGTGTGGAAGGCATGACGAAAAGCAATCCTACAGAATGTTCTAACCCTTTGCAAACACCATGATAGAAAATCCTTCAATTCGTATCTGTGGTCAAGTATCATCTTTGAATTAGGAAAAGCTGCTAAATAAAGCACGAGGAAATGTTAATGCACACTAACATTTCGTTTTCAGCTGTCAGATGTTGGTCACTGCTCGCCTGCCAGAAAGCCCGATAGTAGAAAAATAACATGATTTATCCTCCGTTCAGAAAATAGACTGCATTTTAAGCACAACAATTGCATAACACTTTTCTTTTCATGTTTGATCCACGTAACGGTAAGTAATCCTCATTTCTGTTAGTCTCTAAGTTTCATCTGTTCAACGTCCTCTCGATTCATCCTTTAACCTCATAATACTGGTATTTCCCTTATTAAGCAGTGTATATGGGAGTGGCAGCAGAACTGGAAAGAGATTAGGTTCAAACTCCAAAGCTGAGGGAGGTAACAATCTTTGTCTTAAACCTTGAGTAAAGAATTCATCTAGCGCTGTTTCGATGCAACCGGCCGAGAAATAGGCCGTAAGTCGTTGACTCGCAAACAACATGGATGGGTATGGCGGTATGGTATGACCCCATAAGAATGGACGAAAGGTACGACCAGGCTGTCCGATGAGAGAGTCTGATAGTGCCCAGACCTAGATGACCTCTGCCAAGCCAGTGTAATAATAAGCACAAGGTGTAACCTATAAAAAAATGTATTGCATGATGTAACAAAGGCAATTTTTTCCTACTTGTTATCCGGATGCATCGAAAACGACGACGAATGCCGTAGCGGCTTCCAACTGGATAGAATAAATGCGTATTTGCTCAATAATCCTACTGAAACCATGTCACATGTTACGAGATCTCGCCATATTGTTCGAGGCCTGCTATCAGGCTTTGCGTTTAGAATTCGCTGATAACTAAAGTCCACTTACTGACAAATGATACTACCATCTTAAATGCTTTCACTGCAACTGATCTATCATTTTCGTTCCATACTCTGTTCGCTTTAAGAAACCACGCTTTGAACGTAGCGATACAGTGGCAAAGAGGTCAGACTTGAACTACGGAGAGGGAGGGCGGGTTGAAGTACGCCCATTCCTTTTTTGTCAGCCGACAATCACCTTGTGCAAGTAATTAATGTGTTACTCCGGTGCAATCAGCCAAGAAACAGGCAGCAAGTCGTAACAGGGAAATGATATTCTTGTACGCCCATGCTGTCCGATACTACTCCCCCTCGTGGGTACACTTAACCCCAGTCCACGTCATAGCTGACAGCTGGCTATGTTATATACCAGATTGCTTTACTCTATACTACGTCAAACATAAGTCACTCCTACGGATGATCTTCAACTGTTTATTTGATTTGTTTCCATTCATGGAGCATGAAACTCCGAATGTAGAGGGTGCAGACATCATCTGAGTTCTTCCACCACGTTTTCAACGGGAAACTCATTCTTCCACAGCTAGACCTGCAATGGTAAAAAATAAATGCGTCATTAATAATTTATCCATTTTCAAAGTACGTAGCGATTTTGGTTATTGGGTGCAGCTGATGAAGGAAAGAAAATTCCAAGTCTTACGAGCATCCGCATCCTGGGCCGTCTTCCCCAGAGCCTTCTAAAAAAGTCTGCGTTGAGACTCTTTCCTGAAGCATCGCCAGTGTATGTACAAATTATCGACGTCGCCACTTCTTCAACAACAGAAGAAGCGACTCACAAGTGAGAGCATCTCGAACCTCGGTGTCGCAGACTTGGTCGAGTTCCGTCACACCAGC